TAACCGATGTCAGTTTCTATCTAAATTGTCTAACCGAGTGTTGGAGATGTAGGCATCTCGCATGTTTGTTGTAGGCTATCTGTAGGTCCTCTCACCATCATCATCGTCATCATCATCCTCATCTTCATCATCATGGACAGCATGAGTCAGTATTCGACACTGATACTTCGCTGCTTTACGATCATGAGTTATTTGAAAGCCTGCTTGTGAAAAAAGGAATAAAGGCGGTTGGGGAAGAGACTTAGTGCAAGTTACAATCATTCCGAGGGGCCTACACCTTCAGACACTGATTCAGGCTAGCTGGATAAAAGCTGACAAAAGGATCGCTATTGACTCGAAGTAACTCAGTATTTAGCACGCGAACTTTGTAATCAAAACGTCCATTGTTCGAACCCAACCCCTGTATCTTGACTGCTCCCTCTGTGGCAACCTAACAGTGTCTCTGCTCTCGTGCTTCCTTCGGGTGACATGATACTTTGGCACAGAAGGTGAGTTACAGCTAAACGATTATTTGGCATTTATATTAAAGATGTATTCAAAGAAATTCACGTGGCTGTGCGGCAATGAAACTAGTGTTATCTAACACTCGCGCTGTTATTATATTATGATATATATATATATATATACATTACAGTTGAACGGATGCATCTACTTCGCAAACCAATTGTGCAAGACACCCTACTTTCAGTCTGTATATTCCATACAACGGCGTTTCAGATATGAACCAAGAATAACCACATCGTTATCAGTTTCCGGTGGCAGGGCGAGATGGCCTTAGTGATTAGAGCGCGGATTTACTGGCCGGAAGGTCCGTGGTTTGAACCCGACCTCCGCCTCTCGACTTCCCCTGTCTAGGTTCGGGCAACCTGGCAGTATCCCAGCCCTCGTGCAACCTTCATGTGGCATGGTAGTTAGCTCCAAAAGGGTGCTACAGCTGAACGATTTTACTGCTGGACGTTACCGGTGGCCTGGATGAATAACTGACTGCCGCTCATTTCAGTTCGCCTATATGGGTCCTAATCATGCGCTCTTTAGGAGTCGTTTTTTCTTTGTTTCCCAGGGCCACGTAAGGTGCGAACAAATCGCTCAGTAGTTGCGAGACTGGAAGGTCTGGAAGATACGCAAATTTACCAGACTTTTCTTCTGGAGTTTTTCAACTGCTCCACCATCAGATTTGGTAAAAGCGTTCAGCCGTAGCATCCTCTCGGTACCAATTTGGCATGCAACCCGAATGGGAGCATGAGGGCTGCGATACTGCTAGGTTGTCAAAGCCCAGACAGGGGAAGTCGAAATGCGGAGGTCAGTTTCGAAACACGGACCTACCCTGTCAGTAAATTCATACACTGAGCCATCTCGTCATACACATTGCTGGGAGTTTCGCCTGTAGCGCGACGCTATTGAGCACTGGATACCAGACAAAATGGTGACACTGCTTGAATCTCTAGGAAATGTCTCCGCCGGTGTCGAACATAATTTGGCCCGACGAATTATCAGACGCCAAGTAAAAGTGAGCGTGCGCACCAAACATGAAGTCCAGTGAACACGTAATGCCTCGATCGTTGGGTCGAATACTCCGAACAACAACTCTCTTGCTACCGACTACCACTCATTTGGATCCTACAGCTGAAGTAGAACCCTGGGTAGTGAACCTGAATCCCTATACGGCCTCAGAGATTTATGATTGCATATGTTCTCTCAAGCACCACCGATATGATTCGGATGACTTCCCACCCGCATTGTTCAAAGATAAGGATAAAGTTTTCAGCCAGTGCTTGTCTCATCTGTTAGACTGTATTTGGAAAAACTATACTATCCCAGATTGCCTGAGTGAATGTCTGCAGGTATAGGCACCTCGGAATGATTGTGTTTAGCTAGCACTAAGTCCCTTCCCCACCCACCTTTACTCTCTTCTTTACAATAAGGCTTTCAAATAACTCATGGCTGTACGACAGTGGAGCATCGGTGTTGAACACTGATGTCATGCTGTCGATGATGATGATGATACTATCCCAGACAATTGGAGTGAATGGGTGACAGCGCCTTCTTTCAAAGAAGAATGAGTGCGGTAATCATAGGGGGGTCAGCTTGATCCCAGTCGTAACGAGACTGTTGGCGTCACTTACGGCAGCGAAGCATTGATGTTGAATACCGATGTCGTTCTGTCGATCATGATGACTTCAGCTTCGTTGCTTTATGGATGATCGCAGAAAGCGGACTGGAGAGCAGCAAGTGGGATTCCGACCTGTTCGGGGTTGTGTTGACCAAATATCCACACAGCCAGGTGCTAGAACAACGCCATACGTACAAATGACCCACAGTTTTAGTATTCCTGGAATTACAAGACAAACTCGACCCGGCTGACTGGTATGTTTTCCTTGACACACTTGTGCATCAAGGAATTCCCCGGAAGTTTGTGGACTTGATAATTCTTCAGACTTTCGGACGTGTGAGTGTGTACGAAAGCTTCCGTACGCAAAGTAGTGGTGGTGTGCAGTAGGAGTTCCCGCTCTCTACATCCCTTCTTGATTTCGTCATCGATGAGGTAATGAGACGAACGCTGGAATGTCTTCAAAACCTTGGTATTCAAATCCGGAATATGCAGATGACATCGTTCTCGTCTTCGAAGAGAAGGCGCAGGTGATTTTGAATGAACTGACCCTCCTTCGGCATACGCTTTGCACCCAAAATCTATAAAGTCATGCTCCTGGAGATGCAGTCATTGAATACGCCACTTTCAATTCAGGGAGAGGTACTCAAAGCTTCGTTGACTTTTCTCGATATTTGTATTAGTTTCGAGTGCAGTGTGATGGATGAGGTCAATGCACGAATCTGCAAGACTCGAGTAGCGTTTACTAATTTCAGACACCCATGGCATCTGTTCCTGGATTTCATTGGACGTGTGTTTCAGGCTACATTACGGACTGCTTTGTTGTGTGCCTACGAGACCTGGCCTCATCGGGCAGTGGAACTGAGGCGTCTTCAGGTATTCCACAACCGTTGTCCACCACCTACACCGTAGCTGGTGTAGGTTGGTGTCAGAGGATCGGTAACGAGGCAATAATGGATTGTTCGGTTGTGTAAACGGATCTTCCATCGAAGTATGCCTAACACCAGAAGCTGTGTTTGTTAGACCATGTATTGTGCATACCGAACCATCGTTTGCCGAATAGAGTGCTGTTTCCCGTGCCTAATTCGAAGTGGCTGAAGCAGACAGATGACCAGTTAGACAGAGGGGTATCAAAGGGATTACACAAAATCTGGGTGCTGTCGATGCGGCTCGCCTTCCAGAATGAGGACCGCGTGATTCCCACTGCGGCTGGTTGGAGACGCTGCAAGATATGACTGCTGTCAATGTCAGTGGCGCCCTTGTTGTTAGCTTCTATCCAGATTGCCTGAATGAGTCTGAGAGTGTGGGGCCACTGGAGTGAGTTTGGTAGACTGGCGCTAAGTATCCTCACTGTCCCCTTTCATTCTTATCTTTTTGCTAAGGTTTCCAAGTAAACTATGGTTTTACGGCAGTGAGGCGCCGGTGTTGAACGCTGATGTTATACTGTCCATGATTGTGATTATGAACTCAAATGCCATCAACGTGCGGTTCAGAATTGGCGCCCAACATGAGACGTTCAATGTAGGCAGCTTGTTTCCACAGGAAGCACTTGGATCCAAAACCTGACCGTTGTTTGCGGAAGATCTTCGATACACTCCATGCTTGACCACAGGTGCCTCCGAAGCGTTGCGTGGGTCTTTTGGGATTCAGAGATATGCTCAGTTGTCTTCGGGAAGTTCCACACCCTCCCTCGATAGACCAACTAGTTACACTGCACAGCCTACGCTGGTTAGGCCACTTCCTCGTATTTCATATAACCGTTTGCGTTATATCAGACGGAGATGACCCTGAGGCGGTAAGTTCATGACTTGGCAACGGAGCATGAAGGCTGTTTCTAGCCAACGCATTCGCTTTGGTGACTACCGTCTCCCCGGATGGGGAGCGTAAAGCGAAATAAATCAATAGTTGTTGACCATGACAGATATGGCTGTGTCAGGCAGCCAATGACGCTCTTGCATCAAAGTTATCGTCTTCACTGCATAGCTGTTACTCCCCGGACGAACAAACCCATTCAAAGTTGACAAACTGATTAGGCCATCACCTCCAACGTGTGGCCCTCGTTCCCTTATTCTCCTCCTCGGTGAACGAAGCTGTATTAATTGGAACCAATGCACTCCGACATGTGGTTCTTTAGCTGAAAAACTGAACCGAACTGAACGAATTGTACCGAAGTGGGGAAGTACCTCTGTCACAACTAATAGGTAATTTCACTGTTTGTATTGAGGGCATTCTATGCGGCTATAGCGACTGTAGGGTTATCGGTTTAACTCCCCTTGTAACATCATTATAAAGAGACTGGTCGACACTATGGTGTGATGGTTTGTGCAGCCCTGTGATCCACTGAGCCTCACTGGAAGCTGTCCATGTGACATACGCGGGGTCTCACCAAGTTTTTCAATGTATAGAGGTCAAACCAACAGACTCTCGGCTCCATGCATCGCAACATGCTCCTTAGAAGTTGCGTTGCTCTGATGATCTCATGCCAAGTACCACTGCCTTATGGTCAGGCTTTTGAGCCAAAGGCTTCGTTTGGGACCCTAACCGTCCTCGTGTCCAGGTTCGCATGCCCTGATGCACACAACCGTGACCTGTCGTAGCAGTCATCGCTTCCTCCCATCATCTGGAGTCGGTTTACGTGTCCTTAAGCTGGAGGGTATCGTGATTTCGATCGCATCAACCTCTCAGTACTTCGGCTAGTCAGTTTATAACAGTAAAAACCACTGTGCATGTTTGAATGGCTGTGGCACGGAAGTAAGACGAGGTAGATGCGCGGTAGACTAACGATTGCCGACTGGGTATTGGATATTTGCAAAGGAACACAGTCCTCATTAATCGTTCATGGCTTATTTTCCAGGTCTGATCCCTTCTTGGGCTCTCGGGTCCTTCCACCCACATGTGGGTCGTTGCAAGCGTCTCTGTCATTCTCGTTGGTTTCCTATGGTTTCTATTAAAAAAATTGAAGAAATATGTTATTTTTGAGGTACGTTTTGCTGATTTTTTAAGTCTGATTCGTAAACCACAGTTGGACCAAAACTCGAGTCACCATGGCGGTGAACTGGTTGCCGATGTGCTCCGGGTAAGTATTTTATGGTATGCATTGTATTAATTACTCTTTTATCCAGGCACACGGTGTACCGTTCATTTTCACCTTGTGTGGTGGTCATATATCACCGATTCTTGTGGCGGCAGAACTACGAAAAATCAGAGTAATTGATGTACGACATGAGGCCACGGCGGTGTTCGCTGCAGATGCTGTGTCCAGACTGTCGGGGAAGGTGGGAGTTGCAGTTGTTACCGCGGGTACGTCCTAGATTTGTGCCACTTTCCCGGCTGCCAGATTGCTATCAGGCTGTCCGCTAATGGAGATGTTATTCGATAGGTAGACAATCTAAAATTTGTTTGAACAGGCAAAAGAAACAAATATTTTACAAGCATTTTACACCATTTGTTAAAAAGTTTATCTCATGACAGTAAAAACCTTCGTTCCGTGAAGAAACGTTTTGTACCCCATTCAAACGATTTTGCCATGGCTCATAGGAAGTAAGAAGTGCTTCTTACTGACCACAGTCTATCTTGACGCGAGATGGCTCAGAGATTAGAGCGCGAATTCACTGACCGAAGGCCCGTGGTTCGAATCCAATCTCTGTCTCTTGACTTCCCCTTTCTAGGCTTGGGCAACCTGGCAGTATTCTAGCCCTCGTGCTTCATTTGGATGGTATGGTAGCTAGGCACTGAAAGGATGTTACAGCTGGACGAATACAGTCTCTTTTTCACTGGACCGTGAGCACTATTCCTTGCCCTTGGGACATTATCCAGTTTGAGACCAGGGCTGTTTACTGTACGGCGGCTCTCTCTTGCAACCGCGTTAGTCGGCTTCAGAGATTGCCACTCACGTGCATCCGTCACCGACCAGCTCCACACAAATTAAGATGCTTCCCCGATTCCGAAAAACGGTTTGCTAGGTTGAGACTGAAACCCTCCAAGTCTGACTTGACAGTGCTGATCGAGGTTCTCAGCTGCTCTCCTAGACGACACCGACACTCTGGGCATGGCAAAGGAGCGTATGCTATTTTGCGAAGCTCACTTTGGGGTTTTCGAGCAACGTGACCGAACCGTCGGAGTAGCTAGTGCTGCACTAGTTGCTCGGGACATGGGATGCTGAAGCGGCGTTGCATCTTTTGTCGAGCTTCAGAATTCCACAGTGTGACTCAGATGCCAATGATCAATAACCTGTTTGTCAATGCATTCTGCTCGGACTCTCCAGATCTCACAGCCATACGTTTTTTTTTGCTCAGCTGTAAAATTCCTTCGGTGCCGAGCTACCATGCCACCCGATGGAAGCACGAGGGCTGAGATACTGCCAGGTTGCCCAAACCTAGACAGGGGAAGTCGATAGGCAGAGGTCGGATTCGAACCACGGGCCTTCCGGTCAGTAAATTCGCGCTCTAACCACTTGAGCCAACTATCACAGCCATAAGTATGGACTGGACGGACTGCCGCTTTGAGTGCACGAGCTTTTGTGTGCGAATTGATTTCACCTCTTTACAAGCCCTTCCCAAATTGCATATAAGCATATCCTGCTGCGTCGACATCTCACGCTCGCCCAAGTGTCGAAATGCAGCACGTTCAGTTCCATCAGCTCCTGTGCGAAGGATTTCCCGGCTGGTATTCGCTTACGTGGAGCATTTTGTCTTACTGCTATTGGTCGCAAGTCCCTCATGGATCATGTGTGATAGCTGAATCGATCAACAGCGCCGAGCAAGAGAATGTCATCAGTGTAGTTGAACACCAGGGTATCCCTTCAGTGCCCGTAGCATCACGCAGTCATCTACGAAATTGTGTAGCACTTGTGACAGAATATATCCTTGTGCAACACCGAATGTTAGGTCAAACACGGTGCTCTCTTCACCGTAAACAAGTACCTGAGCGTTCGGTGACAGATAGAAAGCTTTGCTGAAAGCATTACTTTTGACTCGTACACCACCAACAAAAGAGTTAGTGCATAGTGACTCGTAGTAAAGCGAAACCCAGAGTGAAAGGCAATGGTTTGCTGCTGGGATTCGGTTCGGTGTTCCAGAAGTTGACGTGTAGTGAATATGTGGTCCACAAAGCCTCTCTCGGGGCTGAAACCACCTTGCTTAAGCCGTGCCTCCACATCCTGTCACCAATATCCCCAATAGTTTTCGAGACTGTTAGGACATAGTCGATTTGAGGGACAATATAATCATCATTCGAATACCATTTTACTAAATACCGTTTGGAAGCTTATATTGGTGACCACGAGTTGGTTCGATGCGGCAAAGTCGACAAGCCTGTCTCCGTCTTCAGATCGTCCTCCCGGGCTGAACTCGTTCCACCTGCGGTGAATGGAGTCATCTGATCGGCCTACACGAACATCCCACCCCCTTGTGGTTGACGGTGGGTCATGCCTCGGCATCCTCGACTTCTACTGATAGTGGACTTCGCTGAGTTGTGTACAATTACAGTTCAAGTGTTTCCCCCACATCAAGCTCCCACAATTCTGGATGGGACAGGGTTCGAAGCTACAAGCCCATTGTGGGCATGGCCACTCAAGACAAACGTGGCCCCATAGGGACCCGAATTGTCCACTGGCGCGAGTTGGACCAAGTGGTTAGAGCGCGAATTTACTGACCGGAAGGTCCATGGTTCGAACCCGACCTCTGCCTCTCGACATCCCCTATCTAGGCTTGGGCGACCTGGCATTATCCCAACCCTCGTGCCTCCTTCGGGTGGCACGGCAGCTAGGCACCGAAAGGGTGTTACAGCTGAACGCATTCATTCTTGCTACGGAGTTGGGCATTCTGATTCCCGATAAGCATGTGACATCTAGTCGGTAGACACTACGCTGTCACTCACTAGACTGCTGACCTTTCAGCGGCCGATTCGTTGTCAGCGCGTTTACTGCGAACGCCGTAGCATTATGTGAGTTGGTTCATTTGAACCTCTTCAGATGTCCAAGTGTCACTTGTCTTTTCTTTGAGGAGACACAGCATGCCCTTGCACAACCATTAACTGCCTTTGGGATCCGGATTTGATATCATTCGCCAAGTCGACGGCGAACTTGATCAGTGGTTAGGGCACGAATTTACTGACTGGGAGGGTCCGTGGTTCGAACCCAGCCTCTGCATCTCGACTTCTCCTGTCTAGGCTTGGGCAGCCTGGCAGTATTCTGGCCTTGTGCTTCCTTCGGGTGATATGGCAGCTAGGCACCGAAGAAGTTATACCACCGGACGATTTCTTAGTCCGTGAAACTGACTCATGTTTTCGTCTTTGTTGGACAGGACTCACAATTTGTCCGATTCCCCTAGATGGATAGTTAATGGGCTATCGTGTGTCGTGTCTCGTTTCCACCAAATGAGTCGTAGACAACCATGTTTCTACTACAAGCGCTACATAATCGCGGCGCACAAGTCACGTTTAACCTCGAAGCTGATCGATAGCCACTCAACACAAGGCTGATGCGTCCAATAAATATTCAACATTTGTCAATAATGATATTGGTTGACCATATGATATTTTTTAAATAGCATTTTACAGGTCTTGGACACTCCCCACGATAAGATGATTTGTTTGAGTACTGTTCAAACAGGCAACTCCATTCCAATCGATAATAGAACAAGGCGTCAGTCAATGGAATTTCATTATTCTAATTATTAGGACGCCAGACAAAGTAAAGTAGTGTTCCTATTGACATTTTGTACGCTATATCCGACCTTTTTTATCAGGTCTCATTACCAGCTGACGGTAAGTCATTCAGGGCTCAAGGATAACCCAGCAGAATCACCAAAATACACTCGTTGACATACCGACTTGGTTCTGACGGGAGACTCACCTGGAAACTCGGGTACTGGGCCTACCTGATAAGCCCAAAGAAGGGCGAACCGGTCGTCTCATTACCAGCTGACGGTAAGTCATTCAGGGCTCAAGGATAACCCAGCAGAATCACCAAAATACACTCGTTGACATACCGACTTGGTTCTGACGGGAGACTCACCTGGAAACTCGGGTACTGGGCCTACCTGATAAGCCCAAAGAAGGGCGAAACCGGTCGTGGGCTGTCGGAGACTTTTCAGCTTTTCAGCAACCTTATAAGTAGTGTAACACGTCTATACAACCCAGCGGAATCCTAATTACCTTCGATTTCATGTCATTCGAGTGCTTTCATCGAGTGAGAAACTGTGGCTCCAAGCTTGATTCCATCTATTCAACCTCCATACAAATCATGTTAGCCGAAAAATCATTACTTGGTACTAAACAACAGGGGGGATTTCCTCAGGTAATTGAAATCAATCTGAGCGTTAAAGCAGAGGCGCTGTACAGCTGCTTCATTCTTGTTTGAAATCGTACCTGGGATTCGTGTGTATCCTGTCTAAGTGCGATTTGATCGCAATACCGATCAACCTCACTTCGCCCAACGCTAGTCATCATCTACTGTCTCGTGAACTGCGCATTGCTGACGACAACATTGCTAGAAATACCATTGAAGTGTTGTCGTACGTTCTACGCTTGAGTAAGTCCATCAACTCATCTGGAAGATGCTGGTCACCTGTTTGCGAAAGTTTGCCATGACCTGAGCGGAAGTGTACTTTTGCGGTACTCATCAATACCACCGAATGCCGGCAGATGTTTCCTTTCGGGTAGTAAATGAAACCTGTTTGGAATAGAGTTGATCAGTTCAGAATTAACAGAATAGTTGAGTGACGAACCATGGCTTTGTTACTGCGTGCTTTGGGCTCATTCAAGATCGAAAAAAAACCAAGTTTTTTCTGAGAGTATTCCCCACATTGGGGAGCGATTTCTCCCGGTCTCGTGAGCGTTCTGTCGGTGGGACTCGGTGTATTCTTTCTCATGTACGATGACCAACCCAACCGTCGTTCTCACTCCCGCCTCCTTTCAGGTCCTGGCCTGACCAATACTGTCACAGCAGTGAAGAATGCTCAAATGGCCGAATCACCCGTGGTGCTACTGGCCGGTGCTGCTGCCGGGCTTCTGCGTGGTCGAGGATCTCTGCAGGATATTGATCAGATCTCTCTATTCCGCTCGTTGTGCAAGTGGTCTGGTCGAGTCAGTCGTGTGAAAGATATTGTCCCGTTGTTGTGCAAGGCTTTCTGTGAAGCTCAGTCAGGCACTCCGGGTAAGTTCCTCAAACAAGCCGTTTTCCAGTTTGTCGTGGTCCGATACTCGTGCGCGTTTAGCCTATTTCTTTCAGACAGAAGGGCTGTCTTTCAGGCAACTTCAAGGGGTGAGATGGCTCAAGTGGTTAGACGTAAGGTCTGTGGTTCCAACCCGACCTCTGCTTTTTGACTTCTCCTGTCTAGCCTCTGTTTTCGCTTACCCGCCCTGCTGTATGCAGCAAGTAAGGCGACCCGGCTGATGGCACCACGCGACGGCCGATGTGGCATGAGTTTATTTGTGTATGTGCAATTCATGGTTGACGGTGGCTGACCTGAAGGTCCGTGGTGTGAACCCGACCTCTGCTTTTTGACTTCTCCTGTCTAGCCTTGGGCAACCTGGCAGTTTCCCAACCCTCGTGCAACCTTCGGATAGCATGGCAGTGAGGCACCGGAAGGGTGCTACACCTGAACCGGGTTTCTAACTCCTGGTTTCTGGGCTGGATAAATCACATACTGTATTAAAAACGGTTATTTTCGGGCATGACTGGGCGGACAAATGAAGTAGAACTCCCCGATTCATTGCCTTTGCACCGAAAAAGTGCCACAGCTGGACGATTTTTTTAATTCTGCGTAGAATCTAAGAGACAACGGACTCGCACGTCACCGCCACAGTTACATTCTGCTGTTTTACTTTGCTTGAATTGCTTCAGGGGACAATCTGTTCGATCTAAAGTCTTCAGTCGCAACTCGTTCTGATAGCAAGTCCACTTACCAAGCCATTTTCATCTCGAGGGCTTCACTTTGCTCAACTGCATTTAACCTACACAACTGCGGTATGACATCCCCCCACCTATCAACGACAGAGCTTCAGTGTGTTGGATCTCGCTGTATGTCGACAAGTGGCCGCATCCCAGTAACAGACAGACGAACGGTGAATGTCTGGTCATTGACGTAGAGGAAACATCGTCCGAGTCTGATGCAAACGTTAGTTCGCCTTTCGGAAAAAGGAACTTGCTTGCGGCAGACAGGCTAACCACACACAGACCGCATGTCAGAGCACTGTTCGCCTCGCATAGCCCGTTTCGATCGATGATATATTCAACTGGAGTGGTCCAAGTGCCGTTAGACAGAGACCTGACAGTGCTGTGTGCGAGTTTTGATGGGTAGAATCAATGTCAAATTCCAGTTTGTTTGATGAGATCTCCTCGACTGCTGGTTACACTGTCGATGACGCCTGTATATCAGAGTTATCCCGATCCCAGTGCTTTTCTTGGACCAAAACACCCTTCGTCAGGCATTTCGACATCAACGAACTGCTCAGACCATCACTTCCAACAGCCAGGTGTCTTCGCCTAGTTGCCACGCCGCCCAAAGAAAGCACAAGGGCTGAGCTACTGCCAGGTTGCCCAAGCCTAGACAGGATCGGGTTCGAACCATGGGCCTTCTAGTCAGTAAGTTGGCGACTTGATCACTGAGGTTATCTCAACCTATGTGCCTCACTGCCAATTGGAGGGAGTCAGTCTGCTTCTGATACACGCCGTTCGAGACTGACCAAATTAAACGGACACCCTTACCAGATCTGTAGAAACAACATCGTGAACCTGGGCGTTTTGTTTCCAGAACGTTCCAGGAGATGACAAAATTTCCAGCTGACTTACTTCTACCGAATTCCGGGTCTACGAAGAATGTACATACCAAGATTGCCTTGCGTACACTGAATGTAACTGGACAGACCAGTTAATCCCTGAATCTGAAGGGACGTGTGTATCAAGCTACAGTACGGGCTGTTTTGTTGTATGGCTGTGAGACTTGGCCTGTTGGCGCAGCGGAACTGAGACGTCTTCAGGTGTTCGACAATCGTTGTCTAAGAACCAAAGCTGTGAATGTCTGGTCATTGACGTAGAGGAAACATCGTCCGAGTCTGATGCAAACGTTAGTTCGCCTTTCGGAAAAAGGAACTTGCTTGCGGCAGACAGGCTAACCACACACAGACCGCATGTCAGAGCACTGTTCGCCTCGCATAGCCCGTTTCGATCGATGATATATTCAACTGGAGTGGTCCAAGTGCCGTTAGACAGAGACCTGACAGTGCTGTGTGCGAGTTTTGATGGGTAGAATCAATGTCAAATTCCAGTTTGTTTGATGAGATCTCCTCGACTGCTGGTTACACTGTCGATGACGCCTGTATATCAGAGTTATCCCGATCCCAGTGCTTTTCTTGGACCAAAACACCCTTCGTCAGGCATTTCGACATCAACGAACTGCTCAGACCATCACTTCCAACAGCCAGGTGTCTTCGCCTAGTTGCCACGCCGCCCAAAGAAAGCACAAGGGCTGAGCTACTGCCAGGTTGCCCAAGCCTAGACAGGATCGGGTTCGAACCATGGGCCTTCTAGTCAGTAAGTTGGCGACTTGATCACTGAGGTTATCTCAACCTATGTGCCTCACTGCCAATTGGAGGGAGTCAGTCTGCTTCTGATACACGCCGTTCGAGACTGACCAAATTAAACGGACACCCTTACCAGATCTGTAGAAACAACATCGTGAACCTGGGCGTTTTGTTTCCAGAACGTTCCAGGAGATGACAAAATTTCCAGCTGACTTACTTCTACCGAATTCCGGGTCTACGAAGAATGTACATACCAAGATTGCCTTGCGTACACTGAATGTAACTGGACAGACCAGTTAATCCCTGAATCTGAAGGGACGTGTGTATCAAGCTACAGTACGGGCTGTTTTGTTGTATGGCTGTGAGACTTGGCCTGTTGGCGCAGCGGAACTGAGACGTCTTCAGGTGTTCGACAATCGTTGTCTAAGAACCAAAGCTGGTGTGGGTTGGTGTGGGCGAATCCGTAACGAGGAAGTTAGAAAGCGTGTTTTCGGTTGTGCAACAGGTACCTCCACCAGAAGCTGCGTTGGTTGGGACATGTGTTACGTATGCCGAACCATCATTTGCCGAGGGGAGTGCTGTTTTCCATGCCTAATTCAGAGTGGTTTAAACAGAGAGGTGGCCAACCCTTGACTTAGCAGGGGAGTATGAAGGAGATCACGAAACGCTTGGGTGCTGTCGGTGCTACTCGCCTTCCAGGGTGGGGACCGCTTGACCCTCACTGTGCCTGGTTGGAGACACTACAAGATATGGCTGCCAACCGATGTCAGTGGCGTTCTTGTCGTCAGTTTCTATCCAGATGGCCTTAGTAAATGTCTGAAGGTGTAGGCACCTTGGAATGATTGTGTTAAGCTAGCACTAAGTCCCCTCTCCGTCCTTCTTTACTCTTTTCTTCACAACAAGGCTTTCAAACAAATCATAGTTGTACGGCACTAAAGCATCGGTGTTGAGCAGTGATGTCATGCTGTCGATGATGATGAGTCAAGACAATCCTACGCGGTACTCAGGTTGTCGCTCAATCAACCGGCGCGTAAACCCCATCATATTCACAACCTCGGGCCTCAACATCCATCCACGTTTCTGCGTTCTTATCCATGTCCTTAGCTTGTTGGAGATTTCACAGTTGAAAAAAAACCACCAGGCATTATTATGGCATTATTCTGATGTTCTGAGGCATAAAATAAGTTTTTTCCGGCAACGCGGAATTCGACCAGATGTGCAAAGCCACGAATTATCTTGCATGATCGTGAGGTTCGCATTTCGGGAGTAACGTTTTCCATCCAGAGGTTTAGCAGCACACGTTCGGCAACTGTCTCGGTAGGGTGTAACGACTGATAAATTCTATTTTGCGCCGTTCACTTAATCGGGACGTAGGACAAATCACCCACGCACTTGGACTGGAAACCATTGACGCACATTCCTAGGAATCTGAACCATTGATCTGTCGATGCGGTCAATTTAGGGTAGGGCAAAATCCGCGACGCCTGTTGGCTGGAACAAGGTATAAAAATTAGGCACAAAAATTCGCAGGTGAAACTTCTGAAAGGTCACGCGGACTGACGGGTGAAAACATGTTCGTTAGTGGTTAGGGGCGAGTGCCGAATCCCAGACCAGCTGCGTTTGAAATAATTTTATGGTCACGAGATGGCTCGGTGGTTATAGCGCAAGCCTCCGTCACGAAAAGACTGGACCTTACCGTGGTGTGACGGTTTGCGCACCTCAGCGATCCATTGAGCTATACTGGGGGTGTCCGCGCGACACTCGCAGAGTCTCTCATACCAGGTTGGTCAATGGTTAGAGGTCTGGCAAACACAGTCTCCTGGCCCCCCAGGTCGGGGGTTGGAACATGTATGGCGACTTGTTCCGTAGAAATGGTAATACATTTGCATTTCCCGCCAAACACCGCTGCCTTGCGGTTAGGCTTTTGAGCCAAAGGCTTTGGTTGAGGACCCTAATCTTCCTCCTGTCTAGGTGTGGGCGCCCCGGCAGTATCTCAGTCCTCGTGGTACCATGACATTCACAACTAACAATACTTACGGCAGTGAAGCATCGGTGTTGAACACTGATGTTCGAAGCCAACCCGGACATCTTGACTGCTCTTGTCTGGGCTTGGGTAACCTAGCAACCTCTTACTTGCTTTAGTGTGGTACGACAGTGAGGCACCGAACGAATGTTGCAACTGAACGATTGTTCCTATGGTCACGTGTTTCAACGCTCCAATGTGTTTGTGTTTATTCAGCCATCCATACATAGTTTAGTGATCCCTCTCTGAAACCAGGGAACCGCCTTCTTGGGAGGTAACTGAAATCCAGCACACCACATCTCCCCTAGGTTCGAAGAAAGCCAAATCAAAATATCCACACCGTGGCTTTTGAAGACAGTAAACCGACGTGCTTTCTCCCTCCCGTTACAACAGCCCACTAAATTGATTGTACACCTGGTCACCGTCTGACCATTCAGCTTTGACCACGATTCAAGCCGTCTTTATTTCCGAGCTGTGAATTCCTATAGAAGTAATCTCTTGTAGAAACCCGGTGGCGAGATGGCTCGGTGGTTAGAGCGCGACGTTACTGACCAGAAGGCCCGTGGTTCGACCCCAACCTCTGCCTCTCGACTTCCCCTGTCTAGGCTTGGGTAACCTAGTATTATCCCAGCCCTCATCCTTCCTGTGGCTGGCATGGCAGTTAGGCACTGGAAATTACTACAGTAGAACTTCTTAGTGAGTTTTTATGCGTACTTAACGTAATGAGGCTATCTGGAGTGGTTCTAACCCTAACCCTGACTTTTTGATTGCTTGTGTCTAGGCTTGGGTGTTCTGGGAGCATCTCGCCCCTCAGGTTTCTTTCGAGTTTAACGGCAGTTGTGCATTGAAAGGATACCATAGCTAAATATTCGTATGTATTTTTACATATTTTCGGAGTACAAATTTGAATAACAGTGATGGGAGATAGCTTACTGAGCTCATTGTCACAAATCCTTCCTTGTGTGAAGGTGACGTTTCAGGTGTGACAATGAACGCTTCCATGACGCCTTTGGTCTATGAATTTACCGATAATTTTGGAACGTCCTCGGTACCAATAAACATGACTCCATCAGCGAATTTGCACAGGTTGGGAAAAAATCGAGGTAGGATGACACTCAAAGAAAAGAACAAGGGAGAAAAATGATCTCTTGCTAATGCAACTAACTTGTTTTGAGAAGATCCTGCTATCCGTAAAAAATTCAATGCCCGTATAATTACTTCGCGTGACGCGTTCGGTGTCACGCAGATGAGACGTGTCCATATAGGTGACGCACGTTCGTCCTGTGTGTGATCGCATAATTATTTCGCACTCCTTGTCACCTTTTCTCTTGGATTATTCCGTTTTTAAGCATTCGGTAGCGGGCGCGTTAGGTAGGTTAAACGCGTGGTCGTATGATTTTGATCGTGTCTGAAGGCTGTTGGAACGCCGTCCGACCTGCCAACTTATGGCCGGGCGTCGTTCCACGGCCAAGCCTAAACAGGGGAAGTCGAGAGGCAGAGGTCGGGTTCGAACCACGGACCTTCCGGACAGTAACTTCGCGCTCTAACCACTTGGGCCATTTTGCAAATCGGAACGTTTGAGCCTCATCCTTCGCTTTCTTGCCACTTACGAGACTTCAAATTGTTCGGCCCCATCAACCCTTTTCATGCGACTATCTGACTCCAAAGGTTCAACCCGTTGTAAATATAAAAAATAATCGTTCGGTTGTAACAATTTTTCCACTGCATAACTAACGTGCCATCCGAATGAAGCACGTGGGCTGAGAGGTTGCAGGTTGTCCAAGCCTAGACTGAGTTCCCGGGCTCGAACCACGGACCTTCCGGTCAGGAAATTCGCTTTTAGTCACACAGTCATCTGAAACTCAACTTATTATAAACATTATTCAGAATGTCCGGTATCTCACATTTAGTACTGCGAATGCATGGGCTGACAAACCCGTCATCTGCTACCCCAATTGGGATCCGAAACTCCCCCCCGTTCCGGTGGGGAGTTGGTGACCAGTGCTCCAGTTCAATCAATCATTAGGGTTAAACACTCGGTATGTTTAACTTGTGTGGCTGGTAGGATTGCTCATGAAATCAGTTGTGTTTGAGCACAGGTAGAGCCACCTTTTCAGTCTTTGGGATCAGTTCTCTGCCAGACTACTGCTGTCGTTCAGATGTAGCACCCTTCCGGTGCCTATCTGCCATGCTACGCGAAGGAAACACGAGGGCTGCTATACGGCTAAGTTTCTCAAGCCTAGACAGGGGAAGTTGAGATGCGGCAGAGGTCGGATTCGAACCACGAACCTTCCGGTCAGTAAATTCGAGCCCTAACCACTTGAGCCATCTCGCCCCCAGACTTTTGCTGTGTGCGGGACAATAGTGAAAGACCAAGCGCCAAGTGCCTTTCTTTCTGTTGGAGTTCAGTGAGCCAAACAAGTAACCCAAGAAAATTTAATCCAGCTCTTTGTTTGTAGACGGGACTCACTGTATTTAGACAGCCCATTTATCAATGCGTTTTAATTGCACTTACTGCTAATATCATCTGTCGGCACCCCATTGCGCTTTCACACTGCCAGACTGTGGACGCGCAAGTTACCACTTCAAAAAGTCGCCGAGACATCGATACATGCACAAATTTGAATGATACAGGTGTGAAGGCCTCGCTCGCGGCGTCCCAATTAGTATTCTTTGATGTCGTTGAGTGATGCACAGCATGTGCAAATCAGGTGACGATTTGTTGTCGACCCCCCGGTGGCTGTTCACCCTACCAATGCTTTGCGTGTGAAATCGGACTATTGGATGCTGGGTCATCACCGCCACAAGTGGCGCAAATTGGCAAACATGATTCGAGCCTTTGAGATGCGTGCACTGACTTCATCAGACACATTTCCATCGGAGCTAATACAGCCACCGAGCTATGTAAAGTTTTCCACAACCTCCGGTGATTCTTTGTGAATTGTAAGGGATATGTTCAAAGATCGTATTTCGTAACCCACTCATTTCCTATTTCTCTCTCCCTCTCACTCGTCGTTGTAGGTCCCGTTCTGGTGGAACTTCCGATCGACACTCTGTATCCATACAAACTGGTCCGACAACACTTTCGTATTACGGACAGTGTGAAATCGTTGAGTCAACGATTCACAAACTGGTACGTGTCATTGTCCAACTATCATCATCATCATCATCATCATCATCGTCATCATCATCATCATCATCATCATCGTCAGACTTGCCTCATTCATCTCCCCATTCACTTGTCAATACAACCAAATTAGGCATCCAGACAAATGTGTGAATTTGTCCCATCTCATGCTGGACAACATATCCAATTCATGGTTATCCGTTCCGGTCGGAACTGAATAAGACCGTCTGACCGTCTAGCTGCCTACACAAGCATTCATCGACAACGGCTGATCCAATTAGAAACCATTAGACCATACATAAATGTCGTAACCAATCGATAAGCACACGCGGAATCAACAACACCCCCCCTCCACAGTAAGAACGGTCAAACAAGCCCTTCTGCTCCTGTGCTCACTAATTATCGGATCAGCTATGGTCATTAGCCGCAAATCAACCAAGTCATTAGCTTTGGTCGTTTTCCAAATTTCCGGTTGGACACATTTCTTGTTGTAATGGGCCGGTTTTTCGCACTATCTCTGTCGAACCGTAATGCACCAAACTACTTTTGTTCGTAATGCACTACTCACAAGGTTGCTGAAAATTCTTCGACAGCCTACCACACCGGTTTCGTCCTTCTTGAGGGATTTCAGCCCGAATGACGCATTCTTCAGGGTTACTTGGTTTTTGGCATTCCGATCTGCTTACATTATGGGTATTCTTTGTAGGATTAATAGTGATACTAATAATCGTTCAGCTGTGGCAACACCTTTTTGGTGCCTAATTGCCATGCTATCCGAGGTAACGAGATGCTCTCAGGTTGCCCAGGCCTAAACATGAGCAGTCGAGTCGCGGGTTCGAACCACGGACCCTCTGGTCCATTGAGCATTTCTGAGCTCACTCTAGGATCAAACGTCGCTAAATTGGGAGAATGATTCCAGTTTGCCTTCATTTCCAAAATATCGCACCTGTTCTCCTCCTTTTTTCGAAATCTGAGCAAGGATCTCTGATTGCATGGTCAAAACATACCGGAAGCATCGACTTTTTTTGCCAGTGATGTGTTAATTTGAGTGTGGTCACCGCTAAGACAACTTTGCTCTGGAACTAGTCAGTACGGATTACCAAACTGAATGCAACTCACCTATCGCGTCGAAGTTTTCGGTTCCGAAAGTCCTGTGATTCCAGAAAATAAAATAATCAACCACAGTGGGAAGGGGGCGGTACACCGCTACGGTTTAAGTCCAAATGTAGCCATTTTTGTCCCGAAACTTCGTCCAGCTGTAGCACGCTTTCGATGCCAACAAAAGGAGGCATGAGGGCTGGGACACCGCGAGGCTGCCTAAGCCTAGACAAGAGGTTTGGTTTCGAACTATGGACCTACTGGTCCGTAAACTGGCGCCTTAAAAACTGAGCTATTTTGAGTCCACTTTCATCAAAACCTTATTAGTCAGTTCAACAGGGAGAGCTTATCCTGGGAAAAGTTTACCCCGCCCAAAGGATCGGCTAACCACAAATCGTGATCGCACCTCCTGCAGTTTCGTCCACCGATAACAAGGGTGATAATGGAAAGATACGTGATCTCATTGAAATTAGCTTGATTCGCTTGTCCGACAGAGAAGGCTATTCGTTGAGGATAATAGCTTAGACTGGCATCAGTTGAGTGACAGACCCATATCTGTCATTGCTATTAATCACTGATGTGGGATTCGTCCCGGGATCCTCATCCGAGGAGATGACAGTTGATTGGTAAGGAATTTTGTGGTTTGCGACTGAGTCTTCGACTACCCTTGAGTCATCTCCATCCGACAGATGGCCGGGTGAAGGGCTGTTCCGTACTTTGGCACAGAAGGTACACGGCCAAACCACCTGACCTCCCTCGACACTATTGATATGAGATTCCCATCATTTCTGCGAGATCTCTCGAGGCCATTTATTTAATCTATCCACCTCCGATCCACAAAATAGGATGGGTCACGGCAGTGCAGCTACGTTCCAGCCACCGCACGTCGTTCAGCTGTTGCACCCTCTCGGTGCCTAACTGGCATGCCACCAGAAGAAAGCACGAGGCCTCGAATACTGCCAGGTTGCCCAAGCCTAGACAGGGGAAGTCGAGAGACAGAGGTCGGGTTCGAACCACGGACCTTCTGGTTAGTAAATCCGTGCTCTAACCACTTGGACCATCTCGCCCCCGCCTCCACAAGCAAGCAGATATCATATCGGCACCATGAATCTCGGATGTCAGCAAACGCTGCTCTGGTCTTACAGGTTCGATAATCGGTTTCGTCTTCCACCGGGACTTGCGCACATGATTTTCACACCCCGCAGCGTTGATCGATACATTTTGCTTTATACTCTTAGTTCAGTCGGGAGACATGAAGCGAAATGGTCATATAATGACCTTGATCAAAAAATGGTATCGAAGCATATGAGCACCCAGTCATCCCTAGCCTCTCCGGCACAAACAGATGTCCCATTCGTGTAGCACTGTTCGATTGAAGGACTAACTCCGAAATCATTTCACTGGTGCACCTTTTCCGGTGTTCCTTCACACTCGCTCTCATTCTTTTAAAAAGTAGCCACAAAACTCACGTTTGTCTAAAGCAGTACCATGACAACTACCACAGTCACGTGTGAAACACCTCCCCCCTTTGAAGCTTGGTTGCTAATCGTTGTGCTCACTTTGCGCCACGTGACTCTTGTTTTTACATCATCCTTTGGATTCTTGATTTCCACTGAGATCTGTTTCTCCTCGTCACACAGTCTCGCTCTACCGACCTGGTTTACCGAGGTTACACCGGATTCCTTCTTTACGACACATAAGTAGCCACGATGACCAGTTATCTGGTTCAACTACTTGGGAAACAGACAAAACCGGTGAAAAGAACACCGATCCCGATCTGGTTGCGATATTGAGTGTAGTAACGGTATTTTCCTCAGCTTAGTTCTCGGTCTGAGCCTCCCAAGCTAGCGTTCACGTCGAAACAACCACCAAAGGTGCACAAGGTCTATTAACGCCCAAAACGAAATCAGGAACAGTTGTACAGCGCTTCGTATATATAGCGTAGGCGGCTATAACTTTCTGGAATTTCTGACGCGTTTTGGAGCGCCATTGGCAACCGGCATTTAGCCAATACTGGGTCATGATTGGCTGTTGGGTCCAGATTGTTGACCAATCAGATCTCGTCTTGATGCCGGACCGGCAAGCGTCCCGAATTTTGGGCCAACCTCGAGCGGGCCAGGCTTCTCGGCCGTAGCAGCGCCTAAAGACGTGCGGTATGGTGGGATCCGCATGGATTCCTGCCTGGGTGCGATATTGAGACGCAGTCGTCCTCCTATGATCAGGCTTGTTCCGATGAGTGTGACCCCTTAGTCCTTTCAGACGGTTCTTCCACAGGTAGGCAACAGCTGCAATTGCCGCGCAACTTGACCAAACAGTTTTGTCCTCGAAGCCATTCTAGCCAAACCCCAAAACGACACTAACGTTGAATGACTCTAATTCTACGGTGGAATATCAACGTGTCTTGACGTGAACAGCTTGGCGATAACACAGTCTACAGCCATTAAGAACATGATAACCGAGGTATTCAGCTGGGTTCTCAGTGAGTCTCCTCTCAAAACCTAATTCATATGCAAATGAGTGTAGTTCACTGATTTCGTGTAAGTTGGGTTCATGTAGAACTTAAGGTTCAGGGAAACTCGTAGACTGTGACCGCCTGATGAAACCCAAGAAAGGCGAAACCGGCCGTGGGCTACCGAGCAGTTTTCAGGACCCTTGTGAGTAGTATATTACGTCTAACAGCACCATGATATCTCCAATACCGTACCTACCGAAACATGAGGCGGCCTGGTGCATCACCTTCAGTTGAGTATGAACATTATAAACAAGAGTTTCACCTGCGTTCCAGGTGAGTCTCCCGTCAAAATCGAATTAATGTGCAGATGAGTATACAAGTCGAAATCCATTTTTTTTGTAGTAGGGAAACACACTGGGACCGTAAAAAAATCACCGCCGAAACGAAGCACTTCACACGGTTCATTTTGCAAACTCACAAGAGGCCTGTACAGACAACTCCTTCGGAGCGTGGGGCGAGATGGGCCAAGTGGTTGGAGCGGAATTTACAGGACCTGAAGGTCCGTGGTTCGAACCCGACCTCTGCCTCTCGACTTACCCCTGTCTAGACTTGGGCAACCTGGCAGTATCCTAGCCTTCGTGCGACCTTCGGGTAGCATTGCAGTCAGGCACTGAAAGGATTGGACCTTGTTTGTGTCCTGCGCCCACTGTGAACAACGTTCAATGTGAAAACGCTTACTTCAAGATCCCCCCTCTCCCGGAATGAAAAGCTTGAGTTCGCTGACCGGCTCATTATCTCGATAGCTGCGCAACCTCGGATTGAGGGGGAGCAGCGTTCGCGAACCTCCATCATTTGTAGCTTCCGGACAGAATTCCCATGAAGCGGCTAGCGGTCTCGCTGTACGGTTGTGAGACTCGGTGCATCCGATCCGAGATCCTCAAATGTTTGATTACCGGTATCCCCGTAGCACTGCAACGGTTAGCTGGCTGCAGCGAATGTGTGTAAGGAGGTGATGCATAAGCGAGCAGTTGTTAGTGGATCTGATTCGCTAGACTAGGAGACTAAATTTACCAGGAATTGGTTTTCGGGTGTGTGTTACGTATGCCTACCCCCCGAGATAGCGTTATCTCTTTTTTATTCTGAGAGACTGTTCGCAAAAGCTTTGCGGGGAACATGACACATGCGTGAAACAAGCGTCTTCTTGGCTTGGGCCCACGTGACTCCATTTGCGCAAGGTTTGAAACTCTGCATCAGACGGCACGCAACCAATCCCAGTGGTGCGCCGAACTGTCTAGCTAAAGTTCACATGCCCTGGGCTTAGTTCCGATGAGGTTCGATCGAGGAACGCTAGGTTGATCCCACTGATGACGGCTTTATCCGACATGAGGCTCAGATGTGTAGGCACCCTATCTTTAGTCACTCTTCCCACTGGGTCCCTACCCTTATCCGTTCTTTTCACGCTTTGCCAAGTCTTTATTCCCTCGTGGTTTCACTGTAGTCAAGCCCCGGTGTGTATTACTAGTGTATGACTGTCACCGATGATGATGACGATGATGTAGCCAACCTACTTTCACACTGCATTGCCACTTTGCCTCGTGTCTGTTCACAGGTATCTTCGTTTCTACCTATTCCGCCTGTTCGCCAACGGGTTTCAAATCAAACCTTGCTCCCCGGACGAAGAACCCACATCGATCCCTGTGCTCACGCCGCTTGTGCCACAACCTTCAGAGTCCCAAACGAACAAACTGGTCTGTCTGTTAGCCTATGCGCAGCGCCCGATTGCGATTGTGGGTAGCCAAGCCCTCTTACCTCCGTACGATGCCCAGACTACCTCGGAAAACGTCAAGGTCAGTTGTGTGGTCCGTGGTACTAATGGCAAATAACGAGAAACACACTCATTTGCCAATCAATTTGGTTTTCACGAGAGACTCAACTAAATCTCTCGTTTATGATGTTCTACAACTGAATGTGCTGCACACAGGACGCCTCGTGATTCAGTTGGCACGATATTCGAGATATCGCAGCATGTATTTTCACAAAGGAAACTACTCACAAGGTTGCTGAAAACTCTTCGACAGCCCACGACCGGTTTCGCCCTTCTTGGGGCTCATCAGGTAAGTGCAGTCGAAGAGTTTTCAGCAACCGTGTGAGTAGTTTCCTTTATGAAAATGGCAAGTTACCTTTCTGGCGCCACCCTAAAAACAGCACGAGTACCGAGCTACCAGGAGCACTGAGCCAAAGCCTAGACAGGAACAGTTGAGATTTCGAGATCGGGTTCGATCCACGGAACTTCTGGTTACTAGCCCCAACCACTGAGCTATCTCAAGCTCGCAGCATTTGCCAATAGCTAACTTGTATATATGGTTTGGCTCTCTGGGGAGCTCAAAAACTGGACGCTGACCAAATTGTGATGATTCTTGCTTGGTCCCCCCACTTGTTTGTTCTAGGGCATTCGCTTCTTGAGTTGGGCAGGGCTCATACGTAGGCTTCAAAACGTTAGTTCCTGCTGTATGCCGGTCCAGCAGGCTTAGTTGCAAGGTTACTCTTCGTTCTTCTTGGGCCGCAACGGGTGTACGTGGTCCACGACTTTTGACCACACTTGTGTTCCACTTGAAAACCAAGGTCTACGTGATCCCCAAAATACACATTCACAAATCCTATTGGGGTTAACAGGAGACTTAACAGAACCGCTCGTTTGTGATATTCTTCAATTGATTGCCCTGCCTCTTCGTGTTTCAGTCGGGACCGTATTCGAGATGATGTCTCACTGCGTGTTCCACACGGAGCACACTACCTATAGGGTTGGTCTCCGACAGCCCACGACCGATTTCGCCCTTCTGAAGGCTAGTCAAACAGTGTGGCCTCCGAACTTCCAAGTTGTACACCAAATCGTCTACGCGAGCTACGCGCCGAAACTAAGCGGACCTTCTTAAAACAGAGTGTCTGTACATTGGATTGAGTTGGTGTTGTGGACCACAGTCTTCTTAATACCGTGACCCCGAGTCGGGATAACCGCCTGATAGCCTGATGCGCTTAGCCAAACCAAAGAGCCAATGAACGTGCGAATCAGCTGATCGATCGATTGAACACTGACGCGTGCAGGCGTGTCATGTGCAGCCGAAAACGGACTGCTTATAAAGCTCAAGTGTAAAGCTCATGGCGGGCCAAAAAGTGATACTAAAAATGCAACTCATCCGTCAAGCTGTAGTAACGGTATTTCTCTCAGCTTAGTTCCCGGTCTGAGTCTCCCAAGCTAGCGTTCACGTCAAAAAAACAACCACCAAAGGTACATAAGGTATATTAACGCCCCAAACGAAGTCAGTTGTACAGTCGTACAGCGCTTCGTATATATAGCGTAGGCGGTTATAACTTTCTGAAATTTCTGAGGCGTTCTGGATGCGCCATTGGCAACCGGCATTTGGCCAATACTGGGCCATGATTGGCTCTTGGGTCCTGACTTTCGACCAATCGGATCTCGTCTTGATGCCGGACAGGCAAGCGTCCTCAATTCTTGGCCAGTCTTGCGTGGGATGGACTTCTCGGCCGTAGCAGCACCTGAGTGCGAGCGGTGAAGCGGGATCCGTGTGGAATTCCGCCCAACACAAGCGCAAGTCATCATCGACAGCATGACATCAGTGTTTAACACCGATGCTTCACTGCCGTAATCAAGCGCAAGTGAATAGCAACGAATGAAATCTGTCTCAACGAAAACGGTTATTCCATTGGCAGTTGTGTAGCGCAGTTACGTTCGGAGCTGGCTCTCCTATTAGTTGGATACCCGCTATATATCCATTTTCACGATAAACGGAAACATTTAGTTCGATGTTTTTTCTGTTAGTCTGCGTACGTTTTTGGCACCCAATTGTCACCCTTCGTGCTCGACTTTGTGTGCTGCTCGAACTTTCTCCGCATGCCTTCGAAACTCCGCGGAGTGCAGATGGGACGTCCGCTCACAGACATTGAGAATGCGAACAATATTGCTAGTTTTGGATCGGATCTTTCGAAAATGCAATGCATTTTAAGTAACCTAAGTAAATCTGCCGCACGGTTCGGCTTGCCCTTCACACCTGTAAAGTGCTGCTACAAGAGTGGATGGGATCGAACCCAAACCTTACGCTTTCAGGTGAGCCAATCGACGTGTTAGGTAAATTTGTTTACCTGGACAGTAGACCGACAGGATATGAGGTGACTTCTCGAGTCGGAAAGGCCAGGATAGGTTTTACTAACCTCCGACAGTTATGGCGCCAACGTGACGTTAATTTATCCATCAGTGGCAAAGTTTACACTGCGGCAGTACTGCTGGAATAATTTTCGGAGACTGACATTGTGGGTCTCTCGTCCGCCAATTGTAATAACAGTGTTTTCCTGAGCTTCGTTCCCGGTCTGAACCTCCCAAGCTAGCGTTCCCGTCAGAAATAACCACCAAAGGTGCACGACGTGTACTGAACGAGTCAAGAACACTTGTACAGCGCGTGTACAAGCATTCGAACCCCAGCAGCAAAGCTCCCATTATTCCCGACAAAGCGGGCGAGTTTGTGCGGTCTCGAACGAGTTTACCTTGTCTCTGTCGGGTAGTTAGCTCCCCCCCCCCCCCCGACGGACTCACTGACTGGTTATCATCTTTCTGGCTGGTAGATTTGATCCTTATTGCGTCCGAGAAAGAAATATATAAAAAACATATGTATGAATTCCTGACTGGCACGCATGCTGTTAATGGATCGCCTACACTTTTCGTATGTCGTTTCATCCATAGACGAACCAGGGCACCTTGTTAGTGTTTTGGTGGACTTGCTGGGAGGTTCCTGGGATGCTGCTTTTGATCTGAAGCAACAGAAGTTTCGACTGGTGAACTATGGTGAATGTATTAGTGCACTGGTGAGGATAGTCATAACACAACTCAGAAGGTGTATGCACTGATAGAAGTTTCTAACTGTGGTTGACAGTAGTTTACAGAAGCGATTTGCAGCATGTATAAAATAAAGGCAATGTAGAATGTGCAGCAAGTCAAACTTATCGTCTGTGAGAGTCCCTTGGTCAAAGTCCGGACGGCGGGAACGTGTTTTCTCCGCAGTATGGCTGCTACACGTATTCCATAGCTGTCCGTGGACTTGGAGTGTTTGACTGACTCCTTGCTCCCTGTGCACGCGCGAGACTGTGTGTGCTAACTGCGCTCGATTTCCCTATGTGTAGGTCCGTTTGCGCGTACGTGGGCGCGTCAGCACGTGAGCAGTGGCTACGCTCACCAGACGGTACAGACAATCGACGTCTGATGAGTCACCTCAATGTGACGTGGTTGTGGGCATGAAAACGAGACAAGTCTCGTGATCCAGTGTGCGACTGTGAGCTGGACGGTCAAGTATGTGGGTGACTGGGTCGCTACAAATGTTCCATTCGTACTATTCGCAGTACTTCAGCGTCGGTTCAAATGTAATGACGGACTGATGGTTGCTGACCGGAATGTCCGTGGTTCGAATCCGACCCCAGCATCTAGACTGCTCCTCTCTAGGCTTTGGCAACCTTACAGCTTTCGCGCTCACTCCTGGTTTCTTACAGCTCATCAGTAATAGCTATCCTTAACCGGGGTTTTCCAAACAGATGGACTACATATGTATTCACATATATCGTTCAAGATTCACGTGACTAGGCTGTTTCTCACGAGGAACGGAGTTCCTTTGGGAGCAATTTATTTCCTTCTTGTTCTCGAATTACTGACTCCTTAGGGATCGGGATTTCAAATCCTGTTACGGTCGGGATTGGACACTGCGGATCGGGCGCCCCACGATTGAGGCCCGAGTCTACCGTGGTTCGATTCGGACTAACCACAGTGGCCGCTTACATCTGTTCAAACGAGACAGCTCCGGAAGGTCCCTGGTTCGAACCCAATCTCGACATCTAGGCTTGGGTAATGTGGTATTATCTCATCCCTCATTCAAGTGGCTAGGCGCCGGAGTGTATTACAGTTGAACAACTATTGATCATGATCATCGGTAGCCCTGCTACTTGGTCGACCAAACAGTTGAATCCGATCGAAAAACTAGTGACCTGAAAGTGTTGCTTTTGTACTTTTGGATTGCATGCATCCATCTGTAGTGTTGTGTTCAACCGTGTCAGCGTACGAGTAAGCGAGTGCAACGTGCAGTCTGTCGGTAACCTTTTGGTTGCACTTTCCTCGCTTACTTGGAGGAAGTGTTGACCTCAAACTTGCTTGTCCTCATCAGATGGCGCTTTCATCCGTCCTCCGCACTTTCAAGGTCATTTGAACTTCCTCCGACCATTGTCCTCAATCGAGACAACGCTGATGATCGTTTTTGGCCTTCATCTCTCTCTCTCTCTTTCTACCTCACCCGCACGCAGTCTCTCCGCATTCCGGTCTACATGACAGGCATGGCACGTGGTTTGTTGGGTCGCAGACACCCTTGCGCTTTTCGCCACGCCAGGCGCGCAGCTTTACGAGAGGCTGACCTCATTCTACTGGCTGGTGAGTTCCTATGTGATTTTATCTTGCTCCTGCGTAATCGTTTTTAATAACTCCCCTTGCGGTATTGTTCCTTTTGATCATGACTTCTTCTCGTGTGATGTCCAGTCTTTGGTTCTCGATCTGTTTGTCACGATATGTTGTATCCGTCGTTCTTTTCGACCGTCTTTGAGAAAAAAAGCGTTCAGCTGTAGCGCCCTTCCGGTGCCTAGCTGCCATGCTACCCGAAGGAAGCACGAGGGCTAGGATATTGCCAGGTTGCCCAAGCCTAGAAAGGGAAAGTCGAGATGCGACGCAGGTCGGGTTGGAACCACGGTCCTTTCGGTCAGTAAATTCGGGCTCTAACCACTTGAGCCATCTCCCTCCCCCCCGTCTTTGAGACACAAGGCACATAGTGATACCTGGCTGCACGTAACTCCCCTACGAACCTATTGGATTTGTGCACAAACTTGACATCATCGCTGGCCGGGACCGCAATACCAGGAAATCACACAACCGTCTTCTGCGCGAATCATCGAGCGGTTTGGTCGGAGTGCGTGTCTCTCTGATCTTATGAGTTCAGAGCGCATCCATATTCGGGATTCGAGCCTGATCCTTTGTTCGTCGTTGGCTTGGTAGTTGTTGATCTCCTCACTGACTGTGACAACTGACCTACACTGGAAGAGACATTGTCAGCTGAGTGTCCTCACCCAACTGATATCTTCGGCCAATTGAGACTCAGCATTCCAGTAATCGATTTGGTTCGGCTGCGATTTGCGTTGCATTTGAACCCGTTCTACCCGCATTTGGTTGACTAATGGAACATGTCTTGTATGTTGCTTGGACGCGACACACTACTTATAAGGTGGCTGAATACTCTTCAATCGGTTTCGCCCTCCTTGGGGTTTATCAGGTTGATGCAATTCTCCCTGGTCCTATAAAACGTTTTGTAGAGTTCAGTCGCGCTCACCTGTTTTGTGGATTTTCTATTCTGAATTCATGGATTGTTACACTGAAAGAATGGTCCACTTTTCCACCAGATGAAGTAGCCCACACATACTAGAGATTCCCGACTCTTTTCGGTTGAATTTTTGATTCGCGTTCACCTGAGGATATTTGCCGAAAATCAGCTGTTTGTCGGGGGTTGCCGAGTTCATACGGCCGTGGATTGCAATTTGGAAAACTCGGGTTCGAATCCCACAAAGACGTATTGAAGTTGGTTGCTTTAAGTGCATTCTGCCGGATTAACCTATTTTTTTTCGGTTCTGAATATTTTGAGCTTGTTAGTAAACATTTTTCAATGCACTTACTGTTGTTTTCCGTGCCACTTCAGAGTGGCGTAAACAGAGAGGTGGCAAATCCTTGACTTGGCAGAGGAGTACGAGAGACGCTTGGGTGCTGTCGGTGCTACTGGCCTTCCAGGATGGGGACCGCGTGATCCTCACTGTGCCTGGTTGGAGACACTGCAAGATATGGCTGCCAACCGATGTCAGTGGCGTTCTTGTTGTCAGTTTCTGTCCAGATTGCCTGAGTGAATGTCTGGAGGTGTAGGCACCTCGGAATGATTGTGGGAAGCTAGCACTAAGTCCCTCCCCCGTCCACCTTTACTCTTTTCTTTTAAATAAGGCTTTTAACTAAATCATGGTTGTACGGTGGTGAATCATCGGTGTTGAACGCTGATATCATACTACCAATGATGGTGATGATGACCTCTTACTGTTAGACGCTGTACAAAGTGCTAGAATTCTTAAATTGTGGTTCACTGGTTCTACGAGAATAACGGAGTGAGAACCAGGCGTTGGAGGGAGTGTGCTCAGGTATGGTGCATTTTGGCGCTGAAATTCAGATTGATTTCACCGATACCAGACAAATTCGGTGGCCGTCGGTCGGGCAGCAGTTAATCTGTTCGCCGAGCTTGGCAATTGGCTTACAAACGTTTAACCACCGTGCGAGATGACATCGTCAGTGCGTCGTTGGTCGGGTCCCCTCGCATACTGACCAAGCGCTTTCATGCCAGTTGCCAAGCTTGGCGACCAAGTCAACTACCACCTGTTTAACAGCCAGTAAACTTCCCTGATCTACCTGCGAGGCACTCGAGAGCAGACTAATCGATTCCGGGGATGCGCCAACTGACTGTACCTTCATCAAGCATCGTGTGAGAACTCCTCGCGTCCAACGAACTGACGAGTATTCAGCAAATGGGTTGTTGACGAACGATATGTCATTTGTGTGTGTGACGAAAGCATCAGCAAGGAACTCCGTAAATTATCATTCGCTCTCAGTAGAGGGACTTGACTCCTTCTGGGAGTCAAGTTACTTGGGAATCTGAATGCTGGTGTCTAGTCGAATTCTCCATCCAAACTTATCTTCACCGAGTCTGGAGTTTGGTGCATTTAAGGGTTTCGCTCATAAGTTCGGTTCCCAAAACAACACCTCCCTCCACCGGTGAGTTGATCAATAAAGACAAAATGAACTTTCAGACGTGACACTGCTTCGGTGCTTAGATGCCATTCCACCCGAAGGAAGCACGAGGTTGCCCAAGCTCAAAACAGGAGCAGTCGATATACCAGGGTTGGGTTCGAATCACGGACCTTGCGTTCAGTAAGTTCTTGTAGCGGTTGCCCAATCTGATTAGTGCATCCGCTGTCTCCCTCGTGCTTTGTTTTGTTCCACATCCCTCAACGTGTATCACCAAACAAGACGTAACTTGTTTGGTCCCCCCCCTCTTTAAAGGGGGGAGTATTTGTAACGCTCACCCTAACCGCTGGACTATCTCAAGCTCAAAGTTGATCAAGTCCAACTGTCTGAAATTTTGAGAAGCACTGTACATCTACTTCAGCCTTATTGGGAATCATCCCATCTCACAAAACTCAAAGTGTTTCAAACACGCGATTTGCTGGTAAGTAGTTTCAGTCTGATCACATGCTGTTGTTGCTGTGTTTCGATTGGCTTGGTCTGTTGCTACACCAATCCGGCCCACAAGTTGATTATACCTTTTCCCTGACCGTAATGAACTAATCTGTTTTTACGCATGTCCTCATCGGCAGGTTCCGTTTGTGACTTCCGCCTTGACTATGGCCGGGTGCTGAACAGGAAGGCCAAGATCGTGGTGATTAATCGTGACAAGAAACAACTTTACTTGGTGAGTAACCCCCCCCCACGCACACACACACACAAATAATTAGCCAGTACTTTGGCGAATATACACTCATTTGGTTTTTCGAGAGACTCACCTGAAACCCAGCTGAATCTTTCGTTTGTGATTTTTTCCAGGCAACTGAATGTGCTGCACCAGGCCGCCCCATGTTTCAGTCGCTACGATATTCGAGATATCGCGATACATGTATATCTTTGTAATGTACTACTCACAAGGTTGCCGAAAATCCGTCTCTGAACATATCCGTTACAATTCAAAAGGAACCACTGGAGATTGTGGCAAACTTTACATACCTCGGTAGTTGTATAAGCTCTGACGGAAGTGTGTCCGATGAAGTCAGTGCAAGCATCTCAAATGCTCGAATCATGTTTGCCAATTTGCGCCACTTGTGGCATCAAAAACGCATATCACTAGAACTTAAGGGTTGTGTGCTCCAGAAGCGCTGGTAATGTCGCAGGGCATCAAGGAATTCGTAAAGAAGTTAAAAGAACACGGGTATTTGATTGTGTGGTAGGTACTCTAATCGCGGACAACATCCAGCACCATCAACTGCGTTGGTTCAGCCATGTTCTATACATGCCGAAACACCGTCTACCGAGACGAGTGTGCCTCCTTCAGAATGGCACAAACCGCTAGATGGACAGTCTCGACAGAAGGATATTGGTGCAGTCCACCTTCCAGGGGTCTCTCGTCCCGCACTTGTCTGGAGACATTGCAAGAAATGGTGGCTGGTCCGTGGCATTGGTATTCGTATTCTCAGTTCCTTTCCAGGTTGTCTGACTGATCGCTTGGAGGTGTAGGCTTTTCAGAATGCTTGCGACAGACCAGCCGCCTTTTCCAATGATTTCCACTGCATGGCTTTATATATAGTTGGATAAACTTTATGGTTCTGCGGCAATGAATCACCAGTGTAAACACTGATGTTGATGTCGCTGATGGCGTCGATGAACGGGATTTACGCTAAGAAAAAAGCACCTCAAATATTTATCTTGTCAGCCTTTTGTTTGTCTCTTTCGCCTGTTCCATGCGTCCTACTATGTTCTAGTTTCGAATTGACCCCCTTTGCATTCCGTCAATTCCAGAACTCAGACATTTTCTGGAGACCTCACCTCGCTGTCCGGGCAGATGTTGGTACAACGCTGAACGCTGTCGCGGAGCGTCTCAACGAGCGTTTCCCCTGTTCCAGTGCTTTTCGTTGTCCCCAAGAATGGATAGACGAGCTCCAAACGCGGGAAGATCACCGCGATGAAGAGATACGGTACGTCTATTTGAATCCATCCCAGATCCCATTGATCCGATTCTGGTTGTCCATTTTGTGATGAGACAACATAGAGACCTAGTTATCTCCCAACAATTCGAGCTCATGTCAGCTAACCTTATGCTAGGTGGTTTTTCAGGGGGATAAAACCAATTTCTCCCGCTCGTTTGGGTGTTCCGTGGAGCTTCGAGCGTTTTGATCAACCGGTTATTTCCGCGAATCAACAGCGCGGATATATTGTTCACCTGCAACTTGTTCAAATCATTTGACAGGTTCACGGGGCAGTGGTCAGACTGATGGATACATATCAAGTCTTTCAACTCATCGCCCCTCTCCAACTGCCGATACTTGGACTTTCTTTTCAGTACCCCTCAACAACAAACCTTCCCGAAGTGAGCCCATACTACTGGAAATGCACAACAAAGTTTCTCATGAGACGTGGTTTATTGTTTTAATCCTTTCGGGAACACGCCACCCAGAAAGGGACTTTGGAACGCTCGGCGTTCTGTGTTGTAGGACCAGTGGTGGTTAGAGCGCGAACTGTGGTTCGAATCCGATAACCTGGCAGTATCTCAGCCCTCGTGCTTCCTTCGGGCAGAGCGACACCGAAAGGGGTACTATGGCTGAGGGAGGCTGCGACTTCCAGCTCCACTGCATTCAGGGTAAAAGCCTTTTGATGCTGTTTTTAGCGCGAGACGCTGACTGTGCGTGAATATCCATAATGGTAAGCGAGTTTTACTACCCCCCATTCTATCCAGCCTGCCTCTCATCACAGGTGCACCGCTTTAAAGGTCCTTATGCTTTAATGGTTATCATGGGAGCCATAGATAACCACCAACTAGTTTGTACTAGTAGTATAGCATACGTTACTAGAAAATTCTTTTGTCTTCATAGTGGGTGAGCAGACAAGGGTGAAAGCGAAACCTGTTGGTAATATGTTGAAATATTGGCAGCTCGGGTGGGTTTATTGGTTGTTGATCTGTTCGGCGAGCTTGGCATTTGGCTTGCAAACGTTTCGTCGCCATACGAAGAGACATCATCAGTGCGCAGTTGGGTGGGTAACTTCCTTGCATGCGCGCGTGTTTATATAACGTTCGAAGGCTATCTGTTATCTTATAACGTGATTGGCTGCTTGAAGTGTAACGAACTCGATGAATCTGTTAGTCCGTTTGTGATCTTTATTACGTTGTGGTCTGTTTTCCTCTGGCTCAAGCGAAAACAAAAAAGAGCGCGAATTTACGGAAGCGTGCTCCACCGAAGAAGCCATCAACAAACACATCGAAATTGATCCCATTTACCAGCCACTAAGAGCGAGAGAACGCCAGAACCACAGAGCTTAGAGATGGAAAAGTGAACAGACGAGGAACTCATAAGGGAAGCGGTAAAGCATCATCCAAAGGACACATCAACTGGATTGGAGGAGGCGCCCAACCAAAGCACCAAATCCACCGACAGATGCATGGACACTAACCGCCACGGTAGAGAAAATAGGGCGGTACAAGCAACCAATCAAACCGGAGAACGTCGGACCACAACACAATGCGAATCAAGGTCAGACAGAATAAGCTACTAAAAATAGAAGGCGTTGAGATAACCAATGAACGCGTAGGAACACAAGCACAACGCAACAAAGATCACGAACGGACCAATAGATTAACCAAATTTGTTGCACTTCAACAACCAATAAGCGAATTCTGTTGTATACCCAGCTTGAGACAAAAACGCCAGCCCAGCTCGCAACAATGATCAACCTTGAACCACAAGTGTTTTTGCTGTCGAAAACGATCACTTTATTCCGGAGAGTCCCCAGTAGGTTTTTCCATCGGCTTTGACGTCATGTGGAAGGAAGTCCGATACGCTAGGGGGTGTATCTTGGAGGAAGTGATTACCCACTAAGCAAACCTCCTTCAGAAATTTATGTCGTTACAATGCATGCATCTTAGTCACGTTTTTCTGCTCATTATCGTTTTTCAATCAGCTGCCCTTACAGGGAACCAAACCGGCGTTTTTTTAAATGACGTGTCCACATGGTGGCATTGAGCAGGTTGACAACCTGATATGCGTCCTACACCACCTAAGTGGTGTGTCTGACCGTGTCCATCCACATGCAAAACCCTTCTAGGTACATCGGCTTTGACTCAACCTTGCTCCCGCTCCAACCTCGTTGTTTCCTTCACACCCGACCTCCATACAATCGGAAATTTGTCCATTAAGCTTGCCTTGTTCAATCCGAAATCCAATGGTTAAATGTCTGCTTTTTTCTCTTCCTCTTTTGGTGACCACGCCGTGGTTTGCCCAGTCAAAACACGCTAACACAACCTCAGGAGCGGACCAACCCGCTGGCTGTCCTATGGGCTCTTGAGCATCACGGACTGCCCAGTTCGGAACATGAAGACTGTATCATCGTTGCGGACGGTGGAGACTTTGTCGGGTCTGCCGCATACATCCTACGACCACGGGGTCCGCTCTCCTGGCTAGACCCGGGACCGTTTGGCACACTGGGCGTCGGTGGGGGCTTCGCCTTGGGGGCGAAGCTGTGCAGACCCAAGGTGAGTGGTGAATCAGTACCAAGACGCTTCACTTGTTTGACCACGTGATCCACACTTAATTATCCCATGAACAAGTGGGTGACCCTGAATCTATCGATCAATTTGCCGATTTTTCTTTCATCAGGCTACGGTTTGGGTTGTCTATGGAGACGGTTCTGCTGGTTATAGCTTGGCCGAATGGGATACGATGGCCAGACACCATGCTCCTGCAATCGCCGTGATTGGCAATGATGGCTGCTGGTCACAGATCGCTCGTGACCAGGTCGGCTTATTTGGATCCAGTGTGGCTTGTACCCTGAGTTCCCTACGCTACGATGTGATTGGAGCCGCCTATGCTGGCAGTCAGTCTGCGATTCTAGACTATCGGGAGGCCGAATCCCATTGGTCCGACCATGGTGGTGCGTTTGTCGTGAACCGTGGCAATTTCGCCGCAATCGGACAAGTTTTTGAAGAAGCCAAACTCATGTCGGACAAGGGTGAACCTTCGGTGATCAACTGCGTGATTGCCCCTAGCGCATTCCGTGAGGGGAGTATCTCACTATGACGTTCTCACAAACCAATTGCATAGATGTACACTTATTCTAACCTATCCGGAAAGTCTTATTCTATGTGTGCATTGAGTGTAAGCTGCGTTTCTCCTGGTTGTGCCTTTTCAAGCGACCACTCTAATCTTGTTACCCATTTTCGAATCCACTGGTGTGTCGCTCATTCTTATACTCCTTTTTGCAAAACTTTCTCACTCGCCTCCTTCCATCGATTTTCTAACGTCTTTCTATTCCCTGTCACGACTATTTCTGTTTGTTATCATCAGTATATACCAAAAATGAAACTTCACGAATAGTTCCGCAGTTCGAGGGGCATTTGCGGTCTTTCCGAGTGTTCGCTATGCTCTGGATGTTCCATCCGGGATATTCCTCCGGACATGGCGGCGCCGACACCAAATTAACACTTAACCGAGCTCAAGACAGCTTACTAGTCAGGGGGCGAACTTACTAGCCGGATAGTTCAGGGTTCCAACCTCGGTACTAAGCTTGTGAAGTCTAATGGTATTTCAGACGTCCTGTTTCTTCAGGGTAGCATGAAAGCCAAGCACTGAAAGGGTGTCACAGCCCAACGAGGAACTCAAATGTAACATCTTGATAACCAGTTGCCCTAAGTAAACTCCGCGCCTGTTCGGAATGTCGCCAACATACATGGTATGTCAGAGTGGGTCAACTTAGCCTGTATTTGCGTGGCCGTGTTATGGTCTTGTACACTGCCGCGATCGTCATACGAAAATGTGGTGGGCGTAGACAGGGGGTGCAATCAAGCTGAGGGAAGGAGGCCTAAGCGGTGGCCGGCCTCAGGAGTTGACCGATAGACCGTCTAGTTAGTGACATAAACTGCTCACTTCTTAGACCAATCAGCTTCTTGTGCAGGAGATGACGTAAACCAATTGTATGGCTATAAGGGACTGTGATCCGTACAGTGTCGAGATGGCTCAAGTGGTTAGAGCGCGAAATTACTGACCTGAAGTTCCGTGGTTCGAACCCAAACTCTGCTTCTCGACTTGTTCTGTCTAGGTTTGCGCAGCCTGAGAGTATCCGGGCCGTCGTGCTTCCTTCTGGTGACTAGACGCTGAAATGGTGCGATAACTAAACGATTTTTTCAGAAAGTGACAAGTATTCATCATTTGTCGAAGGTGACACAGTCTGGATACGAAACAAAAGGAGTTTATCAGTCAGTCAGTCGCAGTAGAATGTAATCCCAGGAATAATCGGCTCACGGCGGCAGCTGGGCAATGGCACTGGCTGTTGCATGATTCGTTCACTGTAGATAGCCTTCAAGATTAACCTGTGAAACTTGAAAATCTAGTCCGCCCCCCTTTCTCCCTGAAGCGAGCTATCAAATACTTCACTTCCCCTTCGACCACATCCGTTTGTCGAAGTCGCCCGGTGTATCAGTTAACTTTTCTCGTTCTCTGGTCTCACGATATTGACTTTCAGCTTTCCGCTAACAGTGGACAGACAGGCTTTGTCCTTGGTGTGTTGGCGACGTGAACTTCTGAACGACAGACACCAAAGTTTTGAGTGCTTTTGAGTCAAGTGTAACTACATGTGAAAGATAAAGTGACTAGTCCTAGTATTAACCTAAGGACGCGCGGATTTAGCATGCATCCGTTGGTCTAAATGAAGGAATCGACGTTGTGGGTCAAGTGTTAGCCTATTTCTACGAAAACTTGTCACATGACTCATGTGTGAGGATTTTTCCCCTATTTTTGTCATCGGGTCGAGTGACTTGTGCACCTGTTTGTCTAACTTGGTGGACTGGCGCCCGTTCCCGGGTTGACCCTTCACAAATCCCATGGGCGCCGGTGCACGATGTGCAATCCGGTTTGCAATGAATCACATGTGCACCACACCTAACCGGTTTAAATTGGAGAATATGAAACCGGAGAATGAAGAGGGTGTTACGAAATCATCCGCAGACCCCATTGATGACACGTGATTATCAAATGTGGAGGCTCACAGGATTCGGAAGGCAGCACGATGCCACACACCATTCCTGGGTTCCCACAGGCGCATATATTGTAACAAGAGATTAGGCCGTTGGATCAACGCTTAATTCTCACGCACATGATCTTCTATGTACCATCTGGATTCGGGACCGCGACGCAACCCATATTCCCCCATTTCCTGCGCGCCATTCCTTGAGTAAGTGACATCTCTAGTGGGATAGAAGTTCTTGTGCATACCTCTCCACCAGGTGAATTGTCCACACTTGTGGCATGATGGAAAGCTCTCTCATCGTAGCCATGTGCTGTTAGGTGATTTGTTCTCATCTCACGCCGCCGAAGTTGATTCCTGTTCCTTTTGAGCAGTTCGGCCGCCACTCTTCGTTCCGCGGCTTCGTCCTACCACTCTATCTCACACAATGTTACTGGGTCGTGTAGCCTTCAACCTGTACACCTCAAGCTTCGTTGCACGCTTGACATTACGTATTAATTAGTGATAAAGTGGGCCATCCGTTTATCCACTTACGGAAAACAGGAACAAATTCAATCTTACAGAGTATGGTCATTTATCTGTAACACCATTTAGGTGCCTAGCTACCATACCAACCGAAGGAACAACAAGGCCAATTTTCTAAAGTGTGGAAGGGCTGTGGAGATGCCGAGGTTGGGTTCAAACTAAGACATTCCGGTCAGTATGTTTGCCCCTTAACAACCAACCATTCTCGAACTCATTCCGATACATCACGGAATTTGTTTAAAACAAAACGACAATTATACAATTCTTCATACCAAGTGATGGGATACCTACTTCAGTGGCACATAAACACCGTCGTCCTTACACCTCTGTTTCGACCAAATGGCCCAACTGGACTGAATCCTTCTGCGTGTCCCTCATCAATTATGCCATGGTGAGACAGCCCCGGAACCTGGTTTCGATTTTACCGGGACTTGTCAACTCGACCGGGGATTTTTGGACGATCATGGACACCAAAATGTATGCTGTGACAACGCGTCATTCAAACAAGGGTATATGACCATTTGGCGAGTGAATTCAGGCGGACACTGTCGGGCATCTGCCGCCCGCGTCTCTCAATTTGTGTTCCGATATATTTATCCATTGGATTTACGCTAGCAAGAATCTCAGCTGTTGGCAATTGTTTGCGATAGACACGAATCGCTTGTACCCACGTTCTTCTGAGGCTGTGTGGATGAATGTGCATGTATCGCATCGCAACAATCTGCGAATCGTGCGTGTTCGAACATATTTAGTTCGGATGTATTCATTGATAATTAGTCAGGTGGCTCTTGATCAGCGCGATGAAGAAAGGATCCACGTGATATTATCTAATATATATAATATAATATAATATAATATAATATAATATAATATAATATAATATAATATAATATAATATAATATAA